TATAGATTATTGCTATTTTTGAAATAAGTTCTTATACTTATTTTTATTTAGGTTTTGTATATACATTTGAATAACTAAAAAATCATAAATAACTACATTAATACCATAGAATTCCACTATAATTTATCAAGCTTAGTAACTAAGATGTATTTTAGTCTAAAGAGATATGAAATTTCGAGCAGACTAAACACGCACCCTACCTCGTTGAAATATTGGTTCAAAAGAAGAAATGGCACCAAGCCTGTTAAGATGGCTGAGAAGGCCACTAGGGAGACATTCTGAGCTTCTGATTGGTTATTCATGTCATATATAGAAGTATGTGTACATAAGGGAGTTTCCACAAATGGAAAGAGGTGGGTGGAGTGCTACTGTGTTTGATTTATTACATGAGCAATATCTTAGCGAATTGAAAAGATAAGAGTATCTTATTTTATATTCTAGCTTGTCAATATCAGTAACTTAAGTTTCTAATTGATAGGAAATTACAGACTAAGTATTTTGAGTTCACAAACATCTAATTTGAACCAGTGCTGCATTCAACATACCACATGACACACAAAAATCGATGTTTATCTGTTTTTTAATATTTGCATTTCGTATACATAAAAGTAAAGTCTAGTTAATGTCATTTCTATTTCTAAGTTCTATATAACTAAAGATAAACTTAATTACTTTTAAGACAAAGTAGTGATAAAAAAACGAATATAATTGGTTCTTAAACATTAGGCTTAATGCTAACAGTGTTGACAATAGGCTACTGGTATTAAGTATTTATTTTCAGGCTATAAATACAATGGTTAAGACTAGTTTAGGAATTAAGCATTCATAGTTTGTTAGGTGTGATGGGTGCAATGAGTGGGTTTTATATGGAAACTCAGGACTGGTAGGTACTTTTAAGGAAACTAGTAGTGAAAATGTGCAATTTGTATGCAGAGTTTGTAGGTTGGAGGCTATCCTAATTAAAGTAGAGGCTATAAATAAAGAGAAGTGTAGACTGTGGAAATGGCAGCAGGATTTCAAGAGAAGCTTAAGCTTTTACATGCAAGGAATACATCAGCTAACAATGACTTTCAGGAAGTTGGAAAGATTACTATTAGGGCTAAAAGTAGTGGATTTAAATGTAATGAGCCTATTCTTTTAAGTAACAGATTTCAGCCCTTGGCTTGTGCAGATAAAGAACTATTGGATGGAAGGAAAAAAAAAGGGAGAGAAGGATATGGATGATAAACTTAAGAAGGTTATAGTTATAGGTGATTCCTTGACAAGGTATGTGGATAGGATAGTCTGTGGAATAAATAGAGGCATAGGAGGAGGATATATATCTGACATAGCAGGAGATATAATAAATGGGTCTAGCACAGATGTAGGTTTTGTTACGTACATAGGGGGCTAATGATACAGGAAAAAGTAGGTCAGAAAAGCTAATTAATAAGGAGTTGATACAGGCACTTAAAGAACAAAAGCCATAACTTAATTTTGTCAGGGATATTGCCCAGAAGTAATTGTGGGGATAACGTTATAAGTAGGTCACTAGGGCTAAATGCTAGGCTTAGATTAATATGTAAGGACGAGAAAATTGGCTGATTGGACTTGTGGGATCAGTTCAATGGAAGGAGCTTTTTGGAATGGATGGTTTACATTTAAATAGGATAGAGACTGGCTTGTTTGTGAGGGCTATTAACCCAGTTGTAATGGAAGTTTTAAACTAGGACTAGACAGTGGTGAGGGATAGGATAAGCTAAGTGCAAAAAGAATAAAAGGTAAAAAAAAATTTAGCATAGGAAATGAATATAGAAGTAGCTATAAGGGTAGGCTAAATTGTTATTATTGGAATGCTAGAAGTATAAGAAATAAAATAGAAGACTTTAGAGCACTGGTAGGAATGGAGGATTTCAAAATAATGGGAAAAACTGAAACATGGTTAAACGTAAAAGATTTTGAGGACAGAAATGTCTTTGAAATACAGGGTTACGGATTATTTAACAGGGATAGAGTACTAAAGAGAGGGAGAGTTTGAGTTTCTAGTAGCGGATATAAAGGGAAAAGGCTTTCAGTGGGAATTTGTTACAGACCACCAGATGATACTGATGAAATTAATGGGATACTTTACAATGAGATTAAGATTTCAGCTGTTAATGAAGTCATATTTATGGGTGATTTTAATTTCAGGCATATAGATTGGGAAATGCGAGAGTCAAATCATGAAAGAGAAAGGTTTTTGGAAACTGTTCAAGATGGCTTTCTTTATCAATTGGTCAAGTCAAGGAACCTACTACAAACAATGTCATTTTAGATTTATTGTTAACTTCAAATATAAAAATGACTGACAGGGTGGAAATTGGGTGCAAGTGATCATTGCTCCATTAGGTTCAATGTTTTGCTGCATATGTGGATAAGGAATAAAAACGTTTTGGTTACAAATTTCAAAGTGATGCAACAAGAATTATCTGTTGTGAATTGGGCAGCTGAGTTATTTGGAGACACTGATCATATGTGGAAAATTTTTAAAGATTCATGGTAAACATATTCCTTATAGTAAGAAAAGGTTGGCTGCAAGTAAAAAACCAGGTTGGCTCACAAAGAGTATGAGATATAAAATTAACAAAACATCATAAACTTAAGAATTTTAAATTGACTGGTATGACGGGAGACTTATAAGATTATAGAAGATCGAGAAAGTTGTTGAAACAGGAAATTAGGATATCAAAAAGGATGTATGTAAAGATGTATGTTTGCTTTAGATTATGCCATATACATGTAGAACACTTAGTGGATTTGAATGAATGAAATGCTATTCTGTTCCATATTTCAAAAAATAAAATATTTGTCAAAAACATATCAGACATTTATATTTACAATAGTTACTGAATTGATGCTACACAAAAAATATATGCCACTGATTTTCACGAATAACACAGTAATCAGTATTCAGGTCTTTGCTCTACTAGTAACATTAAACATACTAACAGTATTAATATTTATAACAGTACTTGGAGGAAATGCTTGAAATTTACTGTTTAACATTTTATTTCCATTTGAAAATGCATGATACACACACACACACTCTAACATCATCAAATTATGTATATAATAATATATTAAATTAATTATCCAATGCTTAAACTTAGTTTTATCCCCCTGTAGGTCAACATTAAGTTTTTTAGACTTACAATCTGGGATCAATTCTCCATCATTGACAGAATGCAGATAACCCACTGGCTCTAGCACTGAAAAATTAAAAACAGTAACTTACATGTAATATGATGTAGCAATTTTTAAAAACCATAATATACAAATCAAATGTTTCTTACGTTTACACCTGCCATCCATGTTGACTTTAGACCTGATTGCTGGAATATGAAAATGGCAGGATTACAAATAACCATTCTATATTTTTTGTTTGTGTGGAAAACTCCACCATCTCTCTCTTCTTACTGTAATGTATCACAAAACTCACTTGTAAACTGTTAGTTGAATACTTCAGCTCAGTAAACAAATATTTATATTTATTTTTAAAATTTTATCATCTAAAATGCAATTACAAGTACACTGCAAATGATGGGTTTTTCCACTGAAATAATGCTACTATTATGCTAATAACATCCAATACAACATATATGGCACAAGTTAATAACACAGTTAGTAACAGAGAAAAATAATTTGTCTGATAGTAAGTAATATGACAGCTTGGATCTTATTCTATATTATGGTATTATTTCCTGTAATGTTTAATATTCTTAATATAACATACTGACAACAATGGATCATTTATACCTATTTTGCTGTCCAAGCACACCCATCTATAACAAGCTCACTCATTTTTCTTTTTGGAAATTATTGATCTCCTCCCTATTAAATTTTAGTAAAGTGACATCCTCTACTACTGCCAAGGCAGTTCATTCTATAAGCTAATCACTCTGTCATAAAAAATAATACTGTCTTAAATGCAGCCTAGCCATTTGTTTTTTCCAAATCTTAAGTTTGTACCCTCTCATCCTATTAGTTTCACAATACAGCACAGAGAAGTTAGAGACAATTATCCTATCGTACCTCCAGGTAAACTTGTAAACCCCAAATAAGATCACAACTCATGCTTCTTTTTTTCAATAGAAAATAACAGATATTAATCCATCCCTTTAAGATAGCTATTGAATCCCTGGAATCATCATTGTCGACGTCCTCTGAACCTTTTCAAATAAGACAATCACCTTTCTTGGATAAGGAAACCAAAACAGTGTTTCAAGTGAGCCCTAACTATTGAGTTGAGTAGAGATATCTGTAATCAATCATCTCTTTTTGACTTGGATTTATATACATACACACACACACACACACACACCCTTAAATTCTATTAGCTTTACTACTAGCAACACAGCACTGTTTTGATGGTTACAATGACTTTCCCTCAAGATTCAAAGATCCTTTTCTTCAGTCATCCAATAGAGTTGGATCCCATCTATATTAAGGCTGTATGTGATCCAAATCATACCATGATAACCCACAAGCATTACTTTGTACTGACTCTAACTAAAGGTAATATGCCAACTATCTCTCAAACTAACTAACTGATGAAGGTGATTCTTTAATACCTTAATACAGCTAGAAATACCAAGTAGTGTAACATGATTAGCAAAATTTGCTAATTTAAAAATTATACCACTATTAATATCATCAAAGTAAATATAAAAAAGGTGAGTGTGTGTGTGTGTGTTTTTATAGCAAAGTCACATCGAAGCTATCTGCTGTGTCCACTGAGGGGAAATGAAAAAGGCTCACGCACCGACACTGATCAAGGCACTACACCAGTAACAATCATCTCCATTAATAACAACTTTTTGCTCAGAATGAAAACATAAAAAATTATAGTCAAGGGGTTGAACCTATATTGGTTACAATCAGAGAAATCAAGGGTAAAAAGTTTTAAAAGAATTTAAAAAGGAGATTCATAATTTCTTAAAAGAATAATGGGATTGTTTTTTTTTTACTTTCCTGAAGAGATGGTGTGCAGAGACAGCCTAGGCAAATGCTCACTTGTTGTCCATCTATATTAATTACTATTGTATCACAAACTTCCATTTCAACTTGTCCTAAACCCATCAATTTTGTTTGTGATATTCATTTACCATAAGAAAAACAACAACTAAACTTGTCTTTAGATCTGACAAACTTACCTTGAGCTATGTTTTGAAACTCCTTTTTCCAATAATCTTTTTGCCTAAATAACTATCCTACCAGTTTCTCAAGCTTTAACATTCAGTACTTCTAAGCAAGTTTAGTTTAAACTGTCTTTAATGAATTTCTTTACAGCTTTTTTCCACATCTTCCTCCCTAGTTTAATAAATCCAAAACAAGAAAATATAAATTGGTATTAATAGCAGTATTACAAATAGTTTGTTGATACCTTGAGCTGTGTTTCTTCCACTTTTAGGGTAATTAACCCTATTGTAGAGTAAAACAATTTTCAGCAGGGTAGAAAAATTGAAGTGTCGGGTAAAACTGAATTTTATGTTTGAGAACATGGAATATGTTTAAAATAAGAGGAGATTTACTTTAAATATAACAAGGAAGGCTATGTGATAATTTTATATATTTATTGCTTTCACTAGCCTTCAGCAATGCCATTTCTGAGCATTTATTCAGTTCCAATCAATGTAATTTTCTTACAAATTCAATGTTTTGTTCTTTGATTCACATTACCTATTGAATGAAGAGCTCTCAAATGCTAACTTTGCCTCTTTACTGCTTCCTGAACATCTCATCAAAGAACTTGCCAAGCTGAAAACAAATGCCATAGGTGAATGTTAATGTTTTCTGAATTTTTCACCCATTTTTAGGATCCATGAAATGAGTTGTAAGAAAAATATTTTCATTTTTAATTCCTCAATTTTGCATGATAATTGGGTATTAATGTCATTATAATCAGAATACATTGATATTTAATATATAGGGTAACTGGGTGGCCCTTCAAAGGGTAAATCTGGCAGTGGATAGGGAAATCACCTCAACACAAGTGGAAATGCACATCATGAAAGAACTTGCTGTTGTCACTCACTTTATTTAGCTCATCAATGGAATTGGGGAACGTTTATTTTGAAAGATGTGTTAGATTGTGAAATATGCAGTAAGCTTATAAGTTAACTTATAGTTATAATGTGGAGGTTTATGAAATTAAAAGTTAAAATTACGGGCATTTAATTTCATAAACTTCTGTGTTAATGTCGTGCCCATACTTTACACTTATCTAGTTATCAGTAAGATTACGTATGTTTAATATCAGTTAAATTTGCTTCATAATAATAAATATTTAATCAATATACATTATGAAACTTACAATTAAAATTATAAGTTTGTTTAGGTTTGTAAATATAAATACATTTAAAAAGCTATGAAACAAAACTATTCGGAATTTCAACAATATAAAGTTATTACTATAGTATTAGGAACAGGCTCACATAAATTCAGATAGAGAAATGTAACTTTGGATTTTACTTTAGCTGATGATTATTCAAAATAGGAAATTTTATAAAAAAATATATTAAAGGTATAAACTAATACTTTTAAA